GATATTAAACTACAAGTTTATGAAGCCCATACCTGAGAAGCCAAATATTTTCCCACTGGATCCCATGTGACTCCTTTCACTAAACCATTGTGTCCTTTGATCACTGCCACTTGGGCTACAAGAACATTAGATAAGTATTTCATAATCTTCTTAGCAATTAATAATTATTTAGCAAATAATAACCTACACATAAATATCTACTTTACCAACATATTTTATGCATTCCATACATTTAAAAATAATCCAGTCTATTATTGTATTGGCAGTACTCATACTCAATAATTCACTATATTCAACTACTTGTAGTTTGATTCATATTATCTCAGTTCAAATCTCACCTGGAAAGTTGTCGGCATTCCACACAATGATTGTGTTATCAACACTACAGGATGCCATCCAGCTATCATTGGGGGACCATGCCAGGTCAAGGACATCTACAGGGATACAGAGAAAGGTCAAGGACATTTTATAGAGGATCAAAACAAAGTCAAGAACATTTATAGAGCATAAAAAATAGGGTCAAGGACATTTATAGAGCATCAAAACAAAATCAAGGACATTAACATTTAAATATTAAGCATTTAATTAAAAGTTACCCCCTGTGTGGCCCCTTAATGTTGCTGCAGGCCTCCATTGTTCATAAGTTGGAGTCCCAGAACCAAATGAAGGACCAACTCCAGCTCTGTTAGAAGGGTAAAAATTTACTCAATTAATTGTGAAGGAATTAAAGAATACATATATCTGTTTTCACAATGTGCTATATTTTAGTAAAATTCTACAATAAAATGATCTCTATAATTGTTAGTTAATTGTTAGTATCTGATAACTTAAGATATCTAATGTGATATTACAGTTCTGAAAATAACTTACAATATGAGCATTATAAATCTTAACAGAGAATTTTTTCATAATTTTTAAAACTATTTCTGTTGACGAAATGATATTAATGAAACAACTACTATAATTGTTAAATATTTTAAATCAAATATTTCTAATATTAAGGGTGCATACCTGGAAGTCTGCCAGATCATGATTAATTTATCGTCTCCTCCAGATGCTAAAGATTTCCCATTGTTTGACCATCTAACACAATTCACACATGCTGTAATGATAGTAAAAATAATTGTTAATCTGAAGTACCAAGTAAATAATATTTCTCCTATCATACAATTACATTTTGGATTCATGACCTTTCTGCTTTTCTAGAAACTTTATGATGCACAGTTCTAATGTTTAATCCCAAATAAAAAGAAAAAAAATTGCAAACCAAGGAACCACATTTTCTCCAGGAAAAACTTAAAGATAAAAATGATACATGTATTACTACACCATGTGTACTGCAATTAATACTGTTATTATACTGATAACATCAAAATTAATATATGTACATGTATACTATAAACCAAATTTCCTACTCCCTATCAGAATTTTGAAAGTCGAAAGTATTAGCCTAGTTTTCTTTCATGATTCATTATTTCATTAAAAATAAAGAAATGATATTGTAAAATCTTCTGTGATTTAACCAAATAAACAAATTTTACCCAAATGATTGTTCATCTGACAAAGGACTCTGGGTACATTTTCATCATTCTCTGCTTTTTCATCTCTGACAGGTTCAAAATTCCAGATGACGACCTTTCCCGAATCATCTCCTGCAAAGTTAATGTACTCTGTGTCTAATGATGGAAACTATCAATGTCATTTCAGTAATACACATCAACAAGTCTAAATTTGATCCAAGAAAATGAAAGAAACTCTCTTATTTACATAGTTTAGTCAAAGTAATTGTACTAACTTAGTGCCAATTATTACCATTTTTCGAAAGTATAGAGCTTCCCTCTGTTTTATTGTTAAATGAATCAAAACTCTCTTTTCTTTAGGGTTCAATAAATTGCATTGCAAAATTCAAAAAACTGTTTCACTATTGCATGATTTACAACTACCCAGTTCATTTATAGAGCTAACTGTTTCATTATTGCACAATTCAAAGCTACCCAGTTTATTTATAGAGCTGTTTCACAGATGCATAATTCACAACTACCCAGTTCATTTATAGAGCTAACTGTTTCATTATTGCACAATTCAAAACTACCCAGTTCATTTATAGAGCTGTTTCACTGATGCATAATTCACAACTACCCAGTTCATTTATAGAGCTAACTGTTTCACTATTGCACAATTCACAACTATCCAGTTCATTTACCATATTGAGCTAACTGTATCACTAATTTACCTTGACCGCCTGTTGCAAATCGTGAACCGTCCGGGTGAATGTCTATGGAAAATATTGGTTTACCTGTGACACAAGAATTGCATACATGTAATCAGCTTTCTCATATTCATGCATGTTCCAACAATCATTCTTTTAATTATTATAAGAGCTAATGGTTACAATCCCTTAATTTAGCTATATGTAAATACCTTTGGCTGGAATTACCTATATAGTGGAGGAGGTAATATTGAAAAATGCTTCTAAAATTAGACTAGTGTAACAATATCATGTACATGTATATAGAATAAATATGTGATTTCTCTCTCTGCTCTGTATGGCATCAGCATTTACAAGTGCTTCAAATTAAATTAACAACATGGGCAGGTACACATAATTACAGATGATACCTAGTAGCTCAGTTTGTAAAGCATCACAGAACATATGAAGTACCTATGACAACAGTTTTGCACTTCATTAATACAAACATTTATAGCTAGCGCCACTCGTGTAGGGAGATCCATAGACAACGTGTATGAACTGAGGAAATTCAGGTTGAAATCTGCACATTGTTCAAAGAAATTTTTATTGTCCCATGTGAAAATATTCCATACTCCCAATAATCCTTTGCGGTGCATAGCAACATGGTACACATGACTTTGTATGCAACGTCATATTTACGTCACTTTAACGACTCGGGTGTTTCCGATTTTGTCAGAAATATCTGAGAAATTAGGAATTTCGATCCCGATGCATGGGGAGTCTGCAAACGTTAGAGAATATTAGGGCTGCCACGAATCAGAAAATTTTCGAATCGATTCGGTTTAAACAAAAACCTCGATTTTCGAATAATTTCGATTTGATTATAAGAAATAGAGCCTTTTTTATTTTTTGTATAAAATTTGTAATGTTTGATAATTCAAAATAAATAATGAAACACACTTTTATTAGATTTATTAAGATAATATGGAATGTAAAGCCAAGAAAACAAAGGAAATACCTAATGTTCTAATTACAAAGTATGAACCAAGAATCAAATTATTTAAATACTGGTCATTAGTTTTAAAAGAGAAAACATGCATACAAATCTTTCAAACAAAACTTCCATGATTGCATATGCTAAACATTAAAGCACATATGTATTGGTGATTTGCTTACAAAAGCTATTTGCCACAATAGAAATTACGGTTGGATCTGATGTGATTTAAATTTTTTTAATTCCCCAATACGATATCAAACTGCCGAAACACATTGCTGTCGTAACAATACAGTCAATAATTAATTTCACATTCAAAATGATGTCAATATTAAAAAGAAATACGAAATTTAGCAGCACTGTGTCAGGTCCTCTAAATTCAGAACTGCGTGGCTGATAAGTGTGGCCTAAATGCACTAATCTTCTGTCATCTTTCTGTAGAAAATGGTAGTAGTCCCCTAGTTAGAATAATCTAACTGTGTCTCAGGACAACCGGGTCTGTAGGACATTTATCATTTTAACGACAGAACATTCCATCTGGTAGTCCCCCGCCGACTTCTTCGCAGCCATTTTCATGTTTTTGTTAACATTTACATGATTTGCCATCATTTCTTCTGATTAACCAATCAGAATGCACCTAACAACAGCAGATGTTAGTCTGAAAAAATCAAACCTGAATCGAATCGAAATCCGGGAAAAATGTACCGAACCGAAAGATTTTGATTAACCAATATTTCGGTTAATCATGGCAACCCTAGAGAATATATACTTCAATAATGGTTTTTAAAAAAAAAAATTGAGCTCTTAAAGCAAGGCCTGGGCGAAGAGAAAATTCGGACTTTGCACATTGATCCAAATGATATTTTTTCCACAGTTACCTGTGGTCCCATAATGCTTTGTGCATTGCATCTCGCTGCAAACAATGTTCTCCCGGTAACAAGAAGTTCCAAGAAAAATATAAACCTACGTTGATTTGATGGATATATAGCAGATAAATAGTAGATTAAACATTCTTTATTAAAATGAGCACTGTTTAGACTTTGTTTTGGTAATGCAACATACAAGCGACGTCATGTGACGTCAGAGTCTAGACGTACTAAAAGTCTCGTGCGGTTTGAAGAGCCCGATCTAAATTAAAACTGAATACAGGTATCTGCGCTCGCCCTAACGGTCGCACCGTAAACATATTAATTAATGTACAGTAATTGTGTAAAGTTGTAGTTTAGATATTGACAATTTTTGCAATTGAACATGTTGAAAATTGCTTATTTTTAACGTTTATTTTGTTTCAAATTTCATATTTAAGAGCATTCATCCTTTTTGGTTACGTGAAAAACTGTATAAATAGTGATAAATACGAACTACTCAAAAAATGTAAAAAAGGAAAAACACAGTTATTTTCATTTTTCATAAACCAATGTATTCCATAATCAATATGTGTTTGTCTTTATTTTTTTTTTGAAAATTCCTGAACAAATTACTTGTTTTAACTGATAATTCATGATTAACAAATATGCTCTTATTGTCATGCATTGTCTGACATGCACCTGTCCTGCAACGCAGATGCAAATATCGAGCCACGATACTTGACCGATATTTTTAATGCACAGCAAAGAAAAAACCTACCGTCGTGTGTGACCCATGAAGGCTTGAGCAATCTCATAGTGGTGAGATCTGCTAGTGTGATCACTGGAAACGATATACATACAGCACATTTACTGTTTACTTTACAATTTTTATTTCTTTTTTCGAACCCCCGCCATATTTGCTTATGGTTGAAATTATTCAAATGCCGAACCCGAAGAGATTGATTTTTGAGCAGCACAACGAGGCAGTATTTTCAAAGTTACATATGAATAAAGGCTTGCAGTGCCCCACCTTTTTAGCACAGGCACCTGTCGAATTGATGGTGAGACCCCCTCCACCACCTTCTGAGAATTTTTATTAGACTCAAAAACTTCTGAATTCTTAGCCTACCATACCTATATTCCGGTATCTGGCATTCATTTTTGTTACATGTAAGTCGGTTGTAAAGATTGAACAGCTCTTTACGGCATATAATAATGCTAAAGGTAAGATAAAAACGTTATAAACGAAATGGGGTCCTAACTTCGAGGGAGATTTTCATCGTAAATACAGCATTTCCAGTGGAATGTATGCGCAATTAAGAGGCAGATCAGCTAGGGAGATGATGTTTTACAGGCCTCTTCTGTTAAATTATATCCCGTTAAAATGTTTTATTTGTCCTAAATTGGCGATCATTTAATTCTCCCTCAAAGCGGGAACCCCTGTTTGTTTACACCCTTTCGTATTTTTATATACCGCAGACGGTCATCCTTTGAAACTCTACAAAAACTTAAAATTATATACTTAAAAAAAACTTCTTAAGAAAAATTTAGCGTAATAATGCGTAACTTTCGCGAATAAACGCAAAAGTTTCGCGTTATAACGAGAAAGTTACACGTTTATTCACGAAAGTTTCGCGTCATAACGCGAAAAAATATTTCTTTTTAACCTACGAAAATTAGCTCAATGGGCATTTGTACGGACACGATTTATTTGGATAAAAAATACCATTTTTTATTGACTTTCCCTTTCCAGTTGATTATACCTTATTGAAAATCCAGGAACGTAACATCGTAATCTTATTCAAAGCAAGGAGGGGGGTATGTTGTAAATTTCGAATTTATTAGGGGAGGGACATGCAAAATTTACAGTATGAATTAAATTCATGTTGTAAATTTTGTATGTACCTCCACCTAGTAAATTCAAAATTTACAACACGAAAGAGGCCAGAAAAAAAATTGTTGAACAAACAAAAATTAAACTGATAATCAATTGTGGCCCCATCCTCCCCAGGACCATGATTGGAACAAATCTGAATCTGTATTAGCTGAGGATGCTGGCATATCATGACCTTGCTGTCCCCGAGAAGAACAATTTTAAAGATCTTTCTTTTTATTCTCTTAAATATTTTTATCCCATCCCAGGGGCCATGCTTTGAACAAACTTGAATCTTGTCTTATATATAGCTCTGCTGTTCCTGGGAAGAAATTTCTTAAAGATTTTTTCCACTATATATTCCTAAAAAAAAATAGTGTTCCCTAATTCTGGCCCCACTCTCTCCAGGGGAGCATGATTGGAACAAATTTGAATCTGCATTATCTGAGGATGCTTGCTATATTATCATGGCCCGGGTGTTCTTGAGATTTTAATTTTTTTTATTATACACTGTATTATTAATATGACTAATCATGTCCTTGCTGTTCTTAAATTTTAAAAGATTTCTTTATGCATATTTCCATGTAAACTTTGATCCTCTTCTGTGACCCCACACTACCCCAAACGACAATGATATATCTACACTATGTCAGGAAGCTTTCATACAAGTTTTAACTCTTCTGGTCAGGGTTCTTTAGAAGATTTTTAAATCACTTTATTTTTGCCTTTTCGTAATAAACTCTCCCTGGAAGTGGGTACTGCCCTTCATTTGAATAAATATGAATCCTCTTCACCAAAGGATACTTTGAGACAAGTTTGATTGAAATTGGTCCAGTGATTCTTTAGAAGTTGAAAATGTGAAACCTTTACGCATGCACATTCGCACGACAACGGACAAAAAACAGATAAAAAAGACAAACTCGAAAAACCTATTGGGGGGGTTTCGGGGTTGGGGGTTGGGGGTTGAGAAGCAATTAAAGCAAGAGGTATCCCGGTACATGGGCCACATCGATCACCTTAGTTACTATGGCCCTGCTGTTCTCCTTCAGCATACCCCCCCCCCCATATACTTTGATCATACACCCTACCCCAGAGGTCATGAATAAAGTATATCTACACTATCTGAGGAGATGCTTCCATATAAATATGTCTAATCATGGCTTTGCTGTTCATTAGAAATTTTTTAGGATTCTTCTTGTATACTTTTTTTTGATTGCCCATCTTGGCCCCACCCTACCCACGGGGATCATGATTTGAACGAACTTGAATTTACACTGTCTGAGGATGCTTCTATGTTAATATAAATTATCATGATTTTGCTTGTTCTTCAAAAATAGTTTTTTAAAGGTTTTAAATTTAATATAACTTGATTGGGGGAAAAAAAAAATATTCCCAGACGGGGAATCGAACCCCGGCCGCCGCGGTGAGAGCGCGGAATCCTAACCACTAGACTACCTGGGAACTTACGTATATCGGTGAAAAAGATATTTATATCCCTTATCTAAGTCTTTTTTTTAAGTTAACATCTTAATTTATATCATTTGTCATCGAAACGTGAGAAAATCGTTCTCGACAGGATTATAATCCTACAAATCTTTAGATAATACACAGTTCGCGTCGACATTTTATAAGATCACATGAACGTTTTATTATGCAATGTTTTGAAGCGTTCAAGTGACAAAGATGTTTATTTTCATTTCATGCAGAAGTCAATAACAGGAATATATTTAGGGATTCGTAATTTCCAAGCGATGCGTAATTGAAGGGATATTACTCGTAGACATTGCGAAGACAATGTCTGGGAGTATGCAAGACACCTGCCAATGGTTGTCTGTTACGGAAGAAACGCTGTTTTTGCATGATGGGTTGATAAGGGTGACGGATTTGGTAGAACTTCCTCGAGATGTCAACAGTTCTCATGAAGCGGACAATGAAGTCATAAGTTTTGATGTAAAGAACCCAAAAGAACTCAGCAATCGTCTCCTTGCTGTCTGCGGGACACAAAACAATGCTTATTCTAAATTATTAGAGTATCGTCTAAATGCATTGAAGGGATACTGGAATGCTCAAAGACAAGTTGTCCTTGATGAACAAAATGAAAGAGAGGCATCCAGCAACGAAGAAACACTAGCTATACTAAAAAAACAAGGCTTATACAAAGAACCGGAACAAGCATCCTTTTCTACGAGAATCAGTGTACTCCTTGTTTTACCATTATTACAGTCTCAAAGCAGAATAGACCCAAGTTTGTGTGGTGTTACGTCGGAACTTTTGTTGAATTGTCTCAGGGACTGTGCTCCTCTCAGTTTATCAAAAGAACCAGGAGACTGTTTGAGAGGTCTTGAAAATCTTTTATGTAGCTGGTTGGGTGAGAAGACAAGTGATGAAAATGTGAAAGTTGCAGAAGACCTACACCAGCGAGAAAATATTGCATCAGCTTTGGTTGCATTAGCTTGTGCAAGGTATCAACAAAATTTCAAAAAATTGTTTGCATAATTAAGTTTTTTTTCATTGTGATGTGTTAAAAAGAACTGACAAATTTCTCTATATATATTTTAATCATTTAATATTTTTTCATCTTTAGAGGGCACTTAAAGACATTTACTCATGCTGTACACTTACTGCAAAACCTCCCAAATCTTGATACTCTGCAAGTTACTGATGTTCTGGCCAAATTACTGGATACAGAAGGAGGGCCTGGCCAACCTACTTCAATACTAGGAAGTAAGCATATATTGTGTTGGGGATTTGAAGACTTGCTGAGTACACCAGAGAAAGATAGTCCTGCAGCTCCTGCAAATGAAAAGGAAAAAGAGAAACCGGGTAAGTTTTGTTATAACCAGTACGTTAAGGGGAAATTATTTTTGACTCCTACTTTGTTACATGGAAAAATTCCTAGAAACTTGTTAATTTCATTGAATGTTTTTTTCCCTTTTTTTTAAATTGGCTCTTACATTTTACAAATTATCATAAAAAAATCAAGGAATGTTGAATGGATATGCAGTTATCTCAAAAGTAGACATACCCATGGCAATTTGAACAACCAATTTGCAGCATTACAATTAAGGTTATTGTCTGTGGCAGGGGACACCGAGATTTTTTCATTGACAGGCTGTAGAGAGTTGCCTCTATGTTGATGAGGGGTTTCCTTCCTTAAAAAAAAAAACAAAATAGAAATTCATTATATATGCATGAATTGTAAATGTGATTGCTTCCATTGTTAAACATGCATATTTTGATAATTATAGTCGGACTTCATGTCATTTAGTGTGTGCCCCACGCAGTCAGAGTGTAATGCGCAAACAAAGCTTTGTTAATTCCATTAATTGATTGATACTTTGATAAAACTATTTAAATTTATTTAGTATATGTAACATACTGAATAAATTGAATATTGAAAGCTAAAACATTGCTTATTAATAAACAGAGGCAGAGATCGGTAGAAGTTTAGCATGTGATGGGGTTTTCCTCTTCACAACAAACTCTCAGGGCAGGGCTCTGGCTAAGATTGGATCAGGTCTCCATGGAACATTAAGGTATGTTAATTTTTAATAAGAGAGTGATGCAATGATGTGAAAGAAAGAGAATTATGTAATATTTCTCTTTTACAAGCATTTTGGCACAGCTTCAAAGTATACAGACAATTAATAAACCTGACATGTCAGTTTTATGCAGTACAATGTAGTTAATGATGATAGTTATCATTTTGCATGCATCTAAAAAGCTTCTGATAGACAGATTTATGTAATTTTTCCTAGTGATTAAAAAAAATCAATACATTTTCTTGGCCATGAAAATTCATTCATCTTATAATTTAATTGAATAACGAACATTGCAATAATGAAATTGTTCAGTGTGTAAGGCCAAAGTAAAATTATTGTTTGTTTGACATTGCTGCCCACCACATTGAAATAATCCCCTCTGAAAGAAATTTAATGACAAAGATATTTTTCATTATTAGTTATTTACAATGGATCAGTCGATCAGTTTTTCTTTATCATTGGTTTTGGTCTCCATTTAAC